GAGCCAAAATTCGGGGTTTAAAAATAATAATTTTACGAGTCCTCACGTGAATTGAGTATTAATTCCTCAATTAACCTTTCTTAATCTATTATTGATCGTTCTTAATTCTCCAATATTAATACACTCTCGATTCAAATATAGTCTCGAAAAACGTGCACTCGTTGTTCCGAACTAAACGAGTTTTCGAAAAGTGAATTTTTCCAACAAAACGCTTTTAAAAATATAAAAGAGGCGTCGTTCCATATAAATGGATTTTAAATGATCGAAATAAATAATTTGGAGAAAAATGAGTAAATAAATATTTAAACAAACTACTAATATTCAATAAAATAAAATAAAAAAAATTTGGAGTAAGTGAAAGGTTGATATCCAGTAGGCATCACAAGGTTGTCAATCCTTACAGTATAAGGTTTGGAGTAAGTGAAACTTGACCTCGAGCCATTCTCTTTTTTGACTTTGATTACATCTTCATCAAACTCCTTTAGAATTGTTCCTTCAGTGGTGACGTATACTTCCTTCATTTTATCTTTGTCTTTGGATGAGGAAGTCTCACATTCTTGTTGTTTCTTGGAATTCATGTGACTTCCTTTAGGAGTGCAATCTTTTTGGTTGAGAAGTTGAGCGATAAGTGCATCTTGGTCTTCAATGTGCTTCGTCATCGTTTCCATCATCTTCGACATGATCATAACTTGCTTTTCCAAACTTGTAGTATTTGTCATCATTGCAGGCGTTGTGGAGAAAGCAGAAGATGTTGCAGAATCTTTAACAAGGAATTTTGATTGAGCAATTTCATGAGAAGATGCCAATCTAGTACTCAATAGGTCATCTTAATGTTTAGAAAGTTTGGATCCAAATCCAAATTCAAGCATAACAAGGGTCTTCTCGATTGAGACAGGAACATCCATGGGTCCCAATGTGGGAGAAGAGATCATTGGTGATATTGATCCAAAGATGGGGGTTGATACAGATGGAACCTCCATACTATTTTGGGTGGAAACTTTTGTCATGCTTCTTGTTGCAGGTCTAACAATACGAGTATTTGTAACATCATATGTAGGCTCCTTAGCAGATTTGGTAACAGCAACCTTAGAACGAGTAGTCATGAATTTGTTGCTCTATAGAGCCATTGATTGATATGAACGATTGAATATACAAAGAGAAAAGATGGAAAGCAGAGATGGTCTCACTGGGGGAGCAAAAAATTTATATGCAATAAAATTAATTCTGCAAGAAAATTACAAGACAAAAAAAATATGCGAGAAATATGAATTTTAAGAATTTTAAGAAAATATTTGAGTTATAATTTCCAAAATTTTCTCCTTAAATGTTAATTCAAGGGCTTTGTAAATTGTTCTTGGATCGATCGTCGATTCCTTCAAATCTTGATATAGAAGACTTGAAGAACTTGATGAATTTGAACACTTGAAGATTCAAGTCTTGATATGAGGAAGACTTGATGAACTTGAAAATGTAGAGCTTTCACAGCCTTGGAATTTCAATAAAATATGAGAGTATGAAATATGTGATGTGTGAACTTTGGTGGGGAGACCTCCTATTTATAGTTGTAGAATAGGGTGAAATCTGAAACCATGTATGCCATTTTGCTTTTCTTGCAAGACATGCAATCATGTCAAAACTGTACCACTTTAAATATTATCTCTTCATTTTATATTTATTAATAATGAGATAATATTAATAAATATTTCTTTGATTGGCCAGCCTTGTAGGGACATATGACGTGGCATAATTTAATTGGACGAACCATTACAGTATATAAGACATATACATGGATTAAATAAGTCTAAATATTATCTCTTTAATAAAAAAATAATTATTTAGATATTTATCCATAATTTTGCCAAGTTATAGAGACGTGTGACATAGCGTAATTTGATTGGTAGAGACATCTCAACAATTTTAATTGATCGGGATACCTCAATTTGACATGTGAAGAAACATGATTGGCTGTCGAATAGCAAAACTTCCAAGTGTGCATGACATGTGGAAAATCCAATTGAATATAAATAAATCATTGAAATAATTTATAGACCAATGGTAATTTTTTAAAAATGAATTAAAATTCCATTGTCTACAAATACCTACAAGTTGACAAGGATAGATAGGGCCAGGGCCATTCCTCGTTAAGCTGCTTAAGCAACAGACTAGTGTGCAGGATCACCCTTGGCTGGTGGTGGAGCGTTTGGCTTTGGTGGCCTACTTGCCGCAGTAACACATTGCCCATTATATAGCAGTAGTTTTAGATCAAAATCTGGGCAACCATACGTAATCTCACAAAACTAGTAGGATGTGAAAGTATGAATGTGCTTATCACAATTGTTAAAGTCGTCGTTCACACATAAACAGTGTATATTCTATATTGCTAAAGAATTAACAAAAGGAGAACTGAAATGATAAATTTAGTTATTCTATGTCTCTTGCACGTGAAGAATGCATGTATGCATGATGCAATATGGGTAGATTGGTTATTTTGGTTAAAGTTAATAGCCTCAGCTAGGTTCTGAATTAAATCTGTCACCGGAATATCGGGATTTTTTATGACATTATTTGAATAAAAACTTAAAGGATGTAAAATATGATTTTTTTTCCTCAAATTAATTGAAACATATATACTATCATATACTAAAGGGATGCCAACTAGATTGTATAAAAAATTAGAGAGAAAGCTCATTTTAAACCAAAGAATGTGTCAGGCGTATCAGCACATCCTCTAGATTTTTTTGAGATTCAAAAATGCAAGATTCGCATCCTCGATATATAGTCCAGAAGGGATTTTAAATCCCTACTGATGGCGAGCTTATCCGTGACAACTAAATTAATGTTCATAGAGGAAAATGGGAGCATTACAATCCCTAACTTCTTCCTCAGTTTTGGACAATTTCTAGCCACTCATTATAATTTGGATGTATGGGCTGCTTGTCCTTAAATCCCAAGTTGATTACCTTCTCTAGGTGATTATATTACTCATATCCGAAAGCTACAAAACACTTTACCCTCCTGAATGGTTGACTTGTACCTCTCCCCATTTTGAATTTTTTGCTTTCTTCATAAATGTTTAAATAGAAAATTGGGAAAAGAGACCCAATGGCCCTCCAACTCTTTCCCAAATAAAGTTTTAACCCTCCAACAATTAACGGTAAAAGTTTGGCCCTCGATTTAATAAAATAGCATATTTTTTGCCCTTCTGTCAAATCCACCAGTTAAAATTGACAGGAAGCATCATCTCGTGAGACGCGCGACCAAATATCAAGGGTATTATAGTCTCTAAAGAAAAACACAAATTCTGCCAAATAGAAGAAGAACACAAATTGCTACTTACTCGGGAACTCCTGGGATGGCATATATCTTGCCCAATCTGTCCTCGACAATCATCCAATCCAAGGAAAAATCACTCCATCCCTCCTCCTCCTCTCCTCCACCTCCTCATCTGCGTCTACCCCCACCGCCTCCGTGGTCGATTTGAGAACCCTCTTGACCCTTTGGAGATGGGCAGCGCAGGAGACGAGAAGTACCAGCGTTAGCATCAGGGACGTGGAAACTTATACTTGACCAGTAGGATTTCAGAAGCAAAGCCGGAGGCCACGCGTCCTAAATAGGACCATATGCTTACTAGTGACACGAATGTGGCAATGCTCTTCTTGGGATAGCCCAAGGATTTGCCAATTTGGCCCAAATTATCAATTGCCGTTAACGGGACGCCCACCCCAAATGTTGTAGCCGCGAACAGAATTAGCATATCGATGCTGCACACTGCTTGCAGGATTGTGTGATCTTCTCCCCTTTCCGTGGCTTGAACACCTTGCCGAAGCAAGAAAAGTGCGTCTCTTCTTGATTCGGTGGATCGGCGAGAGGCGTCTCTGCTTTCGCTGCCTGTCGTGCAAACTCACCAGTGGTGAAAATGTTGGAGGGAAAAGGAGTGGAAATTGTCGGAGCGAAAATTAGTGGTGAAAATGCTTTTACTCTGTCCTAGGAAAGAGACTATAATGCCCTTGATATTTGGTCACGCGTCTCACGAGATGATGCTTTCCGTCAATTTTAACTACTGGATTTGACAGAAGGACCACAAATATGCTATTTTATTAGATCGAGGGCTAAACTTTTACCGTTAATTGTTGGAGGGCTAAAACTTTACCTGGGAAAGAGTTGGAGGGCCATTGGAATTCTTTTCCCTTGAAAATTTGTTCTGCTTTAGTGACGGTAGGTGGCTTGAGATTTAGATTTCTTTAAATCTAATCATGAAATTTTGCATGAGTAAAATGGTTGCTGAAGCCCAATGGCCATCTTTTGTAATTTGTCAGTGATGGAGTTGGGTTCAGTTTCCTGTAAGTTTTTTTTTTTATCGATACGATAGATTCCTACATTATAGGAAGGGGGAGGACCTAAAAAGGTCTTACGATAATTCGGGGGGATTGAACCACCACCGGACCCAACAGGTGCACTATGCACCTGTCTGGATTTTTTAAGCAATGCCACATTTAATTTTGGCAAATTGATGGAAACCTTATCTCCCAGTGCACCTGTCTGGATTTTTTAAGCAATGCCACATTTAATTATGGTAAATTGATGGAAACCTTATCTCCCATCCCACATTCCCACCAAGCCTTAATGCATTGGTGATGGTTTGGGCTGGTGGTTTCGGTTTCCTGTAAGTTGATTCAATTGACTATTTGGTACGAAATTTTATCCTGTAATAATAACTAAGGATTGGTTGCCACTCCCCACTACAGGGTGGATTACATTAGGGAATAGGTGCACCAAAAAGGGACGAAAGGTTGAATCGGGTAGAGAAGAAAAACGTTTTAGGGGTCTCTTATAATTAAGCAAAATTAAGAAAATAAATTTGTGAAATCAAAAATAATAATGAATCATAATTAAGAAACTAAATTTGTATAATTAAGCAAAGGAGAATAAACAAGTAAACAAACAATAGATAACCATAAGCAAACATATTGCAAGATTTGCAGAGGACCATAGCCTATGGATTTAAGGGAAATGAACTATTGAAGCTTTTGTATATTGTGTTAGGAACAACCCAACAACAATTGAAGCGTTTGCATTATATAAAACCGTGTGTTTAAACTTCGAACAAATCAAACTCCAGGCATCTATGTGAATAGCAGCCAAAAAGAGGTAAAAATGAAGAGACATATTCTCAACAATAGAAGTCTCCAACTCTCAATCGTTTGTGGACATGGCAGTAGAAAAATGTTTATTACTTAGTCATAATGATATTGGAAAAGAAATTAAAAATAATTTTGGCTATCATATAATGATAAATATTTTGAAACGTTTTAAAATAAAAAAATATGATATTTTTTAAAAGGACGAGGAAGTATCTACAAACTGACATGGAAATATAGATAGGACCGTTCCTCATTATGCAGCAAAAGCAAGAGACAAGTGTGCAGAATGACCCTTGGCAAGTGGTGGAGCATTTGGCTTTGGTGGCCTACTTGCCGCAGAATTCACATGTGCAGATGTCGAAATCAATGGCAATGGTGGACCACCCTCCGGCATAAATTTCAGCGGATGAGGTCCCACGCTCACCGCCCTCTCATGCCGACAGCTTAACAACAACCCGGTTCCTTTCTTCTTACCAGCGTCAGCACTGTTGTCGCCGCTGCCACCACCACCGCCGCTCCAAGCTTGACGAGTGGATCCTTTCTCCAGAGATCTCCGCCTCGTGATCGAGAAATCTTCGATTTCAGAAGCAGTTATGGAGAAGTTAGAGACGCTTGCTCGGTCGAACCCTTCTGCAGTTGTTACACTCCAATCAATGCTAGCTTCACTTGGTGCATAGTTCTCGGTTGTTGGTGTCATTGGCTCGTCAAGACTCCCACGACCATCGGTACCATAGAAACCTCCCAATCGCCTTGCATTGAACGTGGAGGCCTCGTCCAGCGAATCCCGCCTGCGATACATTGGATTTGGATACGATGTGGTCTGAGTGGAAAAGCTCTCGATCTCAAACAAATCTGAACTTGCATCACTAGCAACATCGTCTTCGCCGGTCATAGGACTTCCGGGAAACGCGAAATTACCACGACGATCCAAGTGACTGCCGTGGGTTTTAGCCCCTAATGCAACTCGCTGCTGATCGATCGACTTCCTTGAGATTGTACGGTCTGAGGGCCGAAAAACTTCCAATGATATCCGTTGTGGTTCATCTAAAGGGATATTGAGTTTTGGTGTTGTCAGGAAGCCCTTCTGCTCAGGCTTAAAAGGGTAAGAAGGGTTCAAGACAGGGAAAGAAAATGTCATGGCTCCATCCGTAAAGGGCGCTTTTCCAGATGCAGGGATTCGTTGTTGGGAAACAGATGTTGGAATGAAATGATTCTCCGATGGAAGTGAAACCCTTGAAGTATTTGAACTGACAGTCTGATGTCTTTTTACTGAATGATCAAGATCACTTACCGTACTTTTCTGGGACATGCTGGATATCTTTTCTACCATTTTTTCATGGTCATGGGACCTATGGCCCTGCCTTTTCTGATACACATCAGGTTTAGTATTCTTGTGGTTGTCCTCATTGACAGCTTGGGATCTGTGGTCTGAGCTCCCTTCATCAACTTGAACGGATTTCATCCCACCACACGGGCATTTTCGACAAAACATCCACTTGGCAGCCGAAGAGGAACCTCTATTCGGGCCTCCATCATGATCAGCACGAGTATTCATCAAAGATACAGGAATTGGACCAGGTGGATTGGATAGCAGGCCAGTCTGGCTATTCCAACTAGCTTCAGAAGAAGCCGTAGGAGTAGCATGGAAAGATCGTCCCTGGAAATTTCTGCTGTAGCCATCGACAGTTGATGATGCTGAGGAAAATCGCCAGCCTGCATCACTTGGCTCTGATGCATGATTGAGACTTGATTGAGAAGAGTATATTCCTTTGCATTCTTTAGGTTCATTGGTACTTTCACTGAAGTACTTTTGGGCATCAAAAACGTTTAGTTCTGTATCGTCTGCGACAGAAGTCACAACTTGAGAAGGGAATCGATCGGGTTCTTTGGGTTTGAGATATGGGGAGAAAGATGCATCTCTTGTTGTATAGCTCTGCGCAAAGGATTTGTGATGAAATGGGGCTTCTACAATGTTGAAAATTGGTTGATGTGGGGAATTGTACTTGAAGGTGTTGGATATTGTGGTCGGTGATGAATCCATTGGACAATCCTCGTTTACTTTTCAGAGGGGAACCAACAACACCAACTTACCTAACAAAAACAAAGAAAGGATCAGTAGTATATGCTGCAAATAATTTGATGATCTAAGCTGCTGGTGGAGACTAGTTGCTTCTGAAATTCCTGACATATGGTTTTCCCTTATAAAGGTGATGTGCATGCTGATTTGATTATGTAAACTTTTGTCACTATGTTGTATAGTAATACATTACCATCATTTTCTATTTACAAGATATATAAATGTTGAATCTTTAATTTAAAGAGTATGCATAAGGCTGTGAATCCACTTGTTAAACATGGAGTTAGCTTCATTTATGGTTGTGTGTTCGAACATCAAATTGCCTTTTTTTTATATCTATTTAAATTTTTTTTTTAGTTTGTAAGTGAAAGGTCTCGAATTTAGGAACTTTCATTTATACTCCCTCCTCTCTGTACCACTCAACCCATTCTTCCCTCCTCAATGTTGGAGTCACATTGGAATGAAGGTGGGCAATTGCCTCTCCCCCTCCCAAATTTGATAAAATTACATAATGGTCTTAAAATTCTTTTAACATTTTAAAGTTTGCACCATGTTTGCATCCTCTAAATTTGTAAATATGGTCTCCTTTAGTTGCATTGCTCCTCTTAGATTTAAGAAAAGTTTTTTATATAGATTATTCTCTAAAAGTTTTATATATTCCCTCCTCATTTTACATTAACCTCTTAAAAAATAAAATTTTTTATTGATTACTTTTAACAGAAATTTTCAACCTATTCCAAATTAAACTTTGATGTCACTTTAAAAGGGATAAAGCTTTTTAAATCAACATACATAGTATTTTTTTTTATATAAATCTAAAAGCATAATCTACACTAAGGTTGATTGTTGGACCCCCTCAATATGTCACTTTAAAAGGGATAAAGCTTTTTAAATCAACATACATAGTATTTTTTTTTTATATAAATCTAAAAGCATAATCTACACTAAGGTTGATTGTTGGACCCCCTCAATATAGAGTGCTGACTCTGCCACTGCTCCCCCTATAATCAATTTACTTGGATAAGTAGTAGTTGAAAAACTTCTTTAAATGAATAAAACTAGTTTATTTGAAAATTCATGTTAGCCCGAGCTTAGCCAATTTCGCATGGAGAGAATACTGCAATTTTTGTTGAGTATGTCTAGATCATGCACGCAACTGGCATCCAATATTTTCATTAAGACAAATCTTGTTCGAAATGTTTTTTATTTTAGACAAAATATGATAATTGACGAGAACCAAGAATACCTACCCTCAACATCAAATTGTGATTAGCCGACAGTTTTGACCTTACATTTTTTGTCTCTAATTTTTGGATTTTGTATCATTATAGTTCCGTAACTTTCAAATACTGACAATGACGTTTTTTGGATGAAATAAGATTTGAATCAAATTAATGTATTAGGTGTGTACTAGAAATTTTCATAAATGACAGCATGGAATAGTAAACTCTTTTTTTCTACTTTTTTTCTCTTTTTATTTCATTTGCTGATGCAACTACTTATCCGTTGTAGAATGCACTATGATGAATTAATTGATAATAATTTTTATAATTTTTGTCACTTGTACTAAAATTAAACACTTATTATGTTTCACTTTAATATATATATATTATAAATTTATTATTTTCAGATATTTATCTATTATTTTCTTAGCTTCTTAGCTTCTATTGTGGATTTGTCAATTAATGAATGCATTTTCTATGATTTTTAGGAAAACAAGTTGGAAGTTTGAATTGAGAAGATATGGAGAAAAATTAAGGATTTTGTGGTGCAAGTTATCGGAGATATGATTGGATATATATATATATATATATATATATATATATATATATATAATGCAATATATGCTACATGTTAAATGAGTTGACAATCTAATAATCTTTTTTTTTTGTTTTTCAATAGCTTATTAATTCATAGCTTTCAAATAAAATATAATTTTCATAAAATCATTTTAGTAATTCAATAAAATTACCAACCTACATGGACAATAATACTACTTTAAAGCTTTACTATTTGAATGTCTACATGTCAATCGAAAAGAAGGGCAAGAAAAAAAAAGGAAAAATTTTCAAAAATCCGTAAATGCACTTCATATTGGCACTTAGAGTCACTAATTATTGCAACCAAAATTCTTAGTTACCACCATTTTGAAATGACCTACATCAATAAATCATGCAAGAATTTGTGCGCTAGTTGTTAGAACAAAGTTATATTAAAATTAGAATTCTTCTCCTCTTTCATTGGTTTTTATTTATTCATTATCTATGTAATGTTATTCAAATTAGTTTTATCCAATTCTTTTTTATTTAACTTTTCTACATTTTGGTTAAGGATTTTGGATCAAAATTGTAATGTTATTATTCAATTCAAATGTCATTTCATCGTAATTACGGCCGCTAACTATAACTATTTGAAACCTAGGGAGTCATGTTCATCTAAACTCTAAACATTATAAATAAAAAAATACAAAGTCAGAAAAAATTTCACTAACACCAATTTAGTTATTTACAGTCTTTTTTTAAAAAATTTTCCATCAATTGTCCTACTTTGCCTAAAATTAGAAACTTTAAGGAGCATATTTTCTTCAGTTAAATTATCAGGGGCTTTTAACGATATGCTGTACAAACAAATTGTAAGATGAATCTTCAGTGAAATCCAAGTTCAGCTCACTTCCAAATCAGACAAAATATTTTGACACAAATTCGACTCAACTTACATTGAATAAGTCGTAACACCGTTGATTTAGATCGAGTAAGATGAACTCAGAACAACTCTTTTTTTTTTTCTACCAAAAGGGTTCTTCAATCAAATTAAAGTTTCAATTTTGTGACTTCGAATCAAATGAAATTCGTTCGAGACCTACAACGAAACAGTCATAAGGATAATAACAATACCAAAATTGATTAAAACACCACCATCTTTAATTAAGCTACTAATTAAACCAAAAGTTCTTTTTTTTTGAGGGGGGAGGGTAAAAAGCTCGAGACAAATAAAGGTAACATGCTGGTGACGGCGGACGCAGAAAATTTAGAAGCCGAGCTTGGTGCGGCGCCAATGGCGACGCTTGGCATTGTAGCGGATGGTGTTGTCAGTGCGCATTCGGATCCAATAAGGGATGGGCCTGTTCTGCCTCTGCTTCTTCGCCAGCTTCTTCTTTATCATGAAGGTCTTGTGGGACGGCATCTTCGGTTGCTGGAAGTTATCTCAGAACAACTCAGGTAGAGATTTATGGAGGCTTGACTGGGTAGGGAAGGGGGTTAACCTAGAATTGGCATTTGTGATTAGGGCATAAAGCATCTGTAGATGGCTTTTTAAGTTCTAAAAGATAGAAGTGGAACAAAATGAAAGACAAAAATAGAACAAACAATGAAATTAGTAGAATTTGTAGAATAAGAAGCAAATCACGAAAAATGAAAAAAGGACATGAAATGATTCAAATAAAATCATAAAACCAAGAGGAACCAGAAATATAGCCTTGTGACCCTAATTTCAGCTGAAAAAAACTACTGGCATTGTGGTTTAATATATAATTGGATGTTTTACTTGTACGAGTCATGAAAACGCAAAAAGTCAAAGGTGAGGGACAAAATGAACAGACACAAAATGTGAAGAATGTTTCTACATTTTGCTTTGGTGGGGTGGGAGGCAAGAGTTCGAACCTTGCCTCCCACCAATTTGCCACATTTGTGGTGCTTCAAAAAAATTCAGACGGGTGCGTGGTGCATCCGTCTGATCCAGTGGTGGTTCTATCCCCATCGATCCCCCATAGGTCCAAATGGATATCTCCGTAATTAGATTATGATAGAGTAGGAGTAGGGATGACGATTAAAAAAAAAAAAAAAACAAAGGTAGAAAACTTTGGATAGCACATGTTGACTTGTTGCGGACCTAGAATTGTAAGCTTAAAAGGGCATAAAGAGAATCAACATGTCCTATGAGGTGGCAAAGGGACATCCCCGAAAATGATCACGATCAACCTGTCCCAGGATATTTTACATTATTCTATCTATATGTCGGGGCATATGCGTTGTGTGGATTTCAAGAAACCACGTCTACCCTTCGTCTTTAAACATATATATAAAAAAAAAGTTCTCTTATAATTCAGGCGCAGCGGTGGAATGGATTTTGTAGCTTTGTTTACATTTGAACTACAGCTGCAATTTTACTTCGAAATTTTTGTAACAACAAATCTGAACAAAACTGCAAGTGGTCTACAAAGCTTTTTTCTTTTGCTTTCATTATATGTTTTTTTTTATGGTCTCGAGTAAGGCTGTTGTTTTAACTTGTTGTAATGTAACTTTTAAACTAGCACTGAACGCATAATTAAAAGGAGAAAATTCAAAAATCAAGAAAAGGTACGTCATGAAAACAGTTATAATTACACATATTTCACAATAGAAAACCTTATCACCAATTATCTAAGGGATAATTTTAGAAACCTCCCTTGAGATTTCTGACAGTTTCACTCAGCTCCCCCATTTTTAAAAAGTACACTAACCTCCCTTGCTTTTACTGTTTAAGTAATATTGTAGACCCATCATGCTAGAATTGTACTTAAATATCCTAAAATACCCCTATGCAATATCATACATCAAAAGAAAATCAAGAAAAGTTTTAGTGATCAATTTAAACAAAAAAAAAAAGAGAGTAACAAACACTTTCATCCAAGTTTGCTATGCTTCTACAATAATTATAAACCAAAAACCTGATCAACCTATTCAAGCAAACTCCAACTTAATCCCCAAATTCTATCAATTTTGGCATCACTAAAATATCAAATTTTACCAAAATTGCACTCAAACTTAATCCCCAAATTTTATCAATTTCGGCATCATCAAAATCCTAAACTCTACCCGAATCACTTCCTCTACAAATCGATCGTAACCATCACCACCAACTAAAATACCCTTAAAAAGTTTTCAGCCCCAAATTAACACTATGGGCCTTTTTGGTAAACAAGTTTTTGGCTAAGTTTGTCTGCTATAAGTTTTTTAACAACTTTAGCTACAGTAACCTGAAAAAACTTCTCAAAATTTTTAAACTATACATTTCAAAATATCCAAAAATTTACACACTTCAAAAATTTTTCCTACAATTTCTACAGTAAGTTATAATAAAATTTTAAACAAACAGCCAAAAAATTCATTTACTAAACGGGCCCTATATTTTGTCTATTAACTAATCTCACATGTCAAATTATGAACCCACCACCTATCACCCATCACTTTTTTTGAACAGAAAAGGACCTAGCCAACCACTATTGACACCTATGCCAAGAGTAACCCCATACTCCAATGGTGTTAGGAATAGAGAAGCTAATCTTTGTGACAAACCACTACCAATGCTTGTAAATCAAACAAAAATGAAACAAAATGAAGATATTATATTCTAGTACGTAACAGACATAATAGCATAACCTCGATTCGTCCCTTTTCTGTGACAGCCCCACCTTCCCCTAAGGCGAGCCAAAGGGGTTAGCGGACTGCCTGCCCAACTCTCGCCAGGACTAACGGTTCAGTTTAGAGCGATCTAATACGTTCCGGAACATACAAATGCGCGTAAACAAGTCAAAATGTCAAAATAAAAAAAATGAAACCGGAGTCGGTAATGAATAGTAACCGACACGTCAACTCCCAACCAAACATCAAGCAAATATTTACATGTTGAAATTAAGCATATACCATCAAAAGTGGCATACAAAAGTTATTCAAAACTGGATACATGTACGGTTTGCCAAATCAAAAGAGAAACGGACCCAAAAGTACATTTAGGGTTTCAATCAAGGAGCTATACAAAAGATATGTCCATCTAGCTCAATTCGGCAACCAACTATCAAATCCAGTCCAAAAGTATTTATTTTCCTGTAAGGAAAACAAAAGGGAATAGAGTGAGCTTACGCCCAGTGAGATAATACCACTCAAGCAGCAAAGTTCACATAAGCAGAAAGCTTTTCATTCCAATTC